GACAGACAGACAGACAGACACACACACAGACACAGACACACACACACACACACACACCCACACACAGACAAACACACACACAGACACACACATTATTATACATTTTATTTATTATTATTATTATTATTATTATTATTATTATTATTATTATTATTATTATTATTATTATTATTATTATTATTATTATTATTATTATTATTATTATTATTATTATTATTATTATTATTATTATTATTATTATTATTATTATTATTATTATTATTATTATTATTATTATTATTATTATTATTATTATTATTATTATTTTTAAACCAGAGGTGCCCAAATCTTTTAATACTAAGGTCCAAAAATCAAATTGTATTCAGAAGCATGGACCAAGCGTAAATATTGCTTTATATCCAGCTATATTATGTATTAAATGTATTCATTTTTAAAATATTTTAAAATAATTATTTTCAAATGTTTAATAAAAATTCACTTTTTTATGTATTTTTTTTTTCACATTTTACATAGTTTTTTATTATGCAAAAATAAACAAAAAAGTAAATGATATGCGAATAATAAATGCCATGTTTTTTTTCTATTTTTCTTCCTATTGAAGTTTTTATTTATTTTATTTTATTTAATTTAATTTAAATTGTATTTTATTTCACTTGTATTGTATTGTATTTTACACCAAACTTTTTCTTACAGTTTCAGTGAACTATAAATAAGCCTGGTGTCAGCTGACTGTCTGCTGTCAATCAAACGGTTAAACACTCTCACTAACCAGCTGACATTAGTTAGTGTGGTGTTTATGAATCTCTGACTGACAGCAGGAATCCGATCAGACGTACCGGATGTTGATGCCCTGTTTGTAGATCTTGCAGGCGTCGGAGGGTAAAATCCGTGAGAGTAAAGGCACTGAGGCACAGAAAATCAACTTCAACACATCTTAGAAAAAAATTCAACATGTTACGCCACAGAAAAACAGACCTGATAGAAAACAAGCCACGATTTCGGTCATATTCATTACTGTTTAATGACTTTTAAGAAAATCTCAAGAACTCTAAACAAAAAAATTACATTAATATTAATAATAATAATATTTTAGATTCAGATTATTTCACGACAATTTCCACACACACACACACACTCACACACACACACACACACACACACTCACACATACTCACACACACTCACACACACTCACACATACTCACACACACTCACACACACTCACACATACTCACACATACTCACACATACTCACACACACACACACACACTCACACACACACAGACACCCACACACACACTCACACATACTCACACATACTCACACACACACTCACACATACTCACACACACTCACACACACTCACACATACTCACACATACTCACACATACTCACACACATACTCACACACACTCACACACACACACACACACACACATACACACAGACAGACACACACTCACACAGCACACACACACACACACACTCACACTCACACACACACATACTCACACACTCACACACACACATACTCACACACACACACACACATACATACACTCACACACTCACAGCTCATCCGCTAGCACAGCGACTCTGCTGACTGAAACACAAACTCACCCCAGCTCTGGAAATCCCAGTGCAGCTCCAGATAGAAATCACCCAGCTACGGAACAACAGCACACATTACTGACAGCAATGACACAAATTATAAACAATAATTTAACAACATCTTCCTTCCATTTCCTCATTTTAAATGCATTCTTATTTATTATTCGTTCATTTATTTATTTGGCATATTAGCAGCAAATGCTATTAATAGATTTTAAAATAATTCTTACAATAATAAAACCTCAATATAGTAGGGAAAATATTTATTTGATCCCCTGCTGATTGAGTGAAGATTTAGTCGCATATGCGAGTGATTTACTCGCAATGTAGAGGGTTGGATGGACTGGAGTGCTGTGGATTACTTGTGGATTATTGTGATGTTTTTATCAGCTGTTTGGACTCTCATTCTGACGGCACCCATTCACTGCAGAGCATCCATTACTGAGACACTGATGCAATGCTACATTTCTACAAATCTGATGAACAAACAAACTCATCCTAATCTTGTATGACCTGAGAGTGAGCACATTTTAATTTCTGGCTGAGCTATTGTTTTAAATACAGACACAGTGAGGCAAAGAGAAAATCTCCTGAAGATAATGATGTTGAAGAGTCAGAGCGTGATCCTCCAAAAACTCACGCCAGCTTCACAGGAAATCATTCTGACAAGACAAAGTGTGTTTTCCATTGGTTACCAGAGTCTAAAATGGAAACGCTGTGCGATCGACAAGTCATCAATACACACAGAAGACCTGTGAGCCATCTGAGAAACACCGCAGCGGGAATCACACACTAATGAGAGCTGTGTTAATCAGCAGCTCTCTAACGAGATCTTTCTTGACAAGCATCTCCACGCTGCTGTGTGCCTAATGAATCACGACATCCAAACCCCAAGATAAAGTGCTGTGATTGGTTGAGCCTGTGATGATGTCACTCAACGCGGCTCATTCCTCTGAATGAAACACTTACATTGGACGAAACTGGGGAAAAGTACTGAAATACCATCAAAAGAAATAGTATTAAAAGGATTGTAGTAGTATCAAAAGTATTGAAACAGTATCAAAAGTAATGAAATGGTAACAAAAGTACTGAAATACCATCAAATAGTATTAAAAGGATTGAAGTAGTATCAAAAGTATTGAAATGGTATCTAAAGTACTGAAATTGTATCAAAAGTACTGAAATACCATCAAAAGTACTGAAATACCATCAAATAGTATTAAAAGGATTGAAGTAGTATCAAAAGTATTGAAATTGTATCAAAAGTATTGAAATGGTATCTAAAGTACTGAAATGGTATCAAAAGTACTGAAATACCATCAAATAGTATTAAAAGGATTGTAGTATCAAAAGTAATGAAATTGTATCAAATGTACTAAAATGGTATCAAAATAACTGAAATAGTATCAAAAGTACTGAAATATTATGAAAAGTACTGAAATAGTATAAAAATAACTGAAATAGTATCAAAAGTACTGAAAAAATCAAAAGTACTGAAATAGTATCAAAAAAAGTACTGAAATGGTATCAAATGTACTGATATAGCATCAAGTGTACTGAAATAGCATCAAAATTAAAGAAATGGTATCAAACATTGAAATAGTATCAAAATACTGAAATAGTATCAGAAGTATTTAAATGCTATAAAAATACTGAAATAGTATCAAAAGTACTGAAATAGTATCTGAAGTATTTAAATGCTATAAAAATACTGAAATAGTATCAAAATGCTGAAATATTAAAATACTGAAATAGTACCAAAAGTATAGAAATATTATCAAAAGTACTAAAATAGTATCAAAATACTGAAATAGTATCAAAAGTACTGAAATGTAATCAAACCTATTGAAATATTATTAAAATATTGAAATAGTATCAAACATACTGAAATAGCACCAAATGAAATCAAACGTATTGATTACTCTAGGGTTGATTAGATCAGTTTTCAGTATTTCTCTCAAACTCTTCTAAATTTAATGCAGCTCAAGGACAGACTGTCACTAGTGCATGTTTTATCCCGATATAACTTAATAAACATCTCATAAAAACATTTTTAGAGTTCAGACTTTTTTTTATTATAGACATTCTGGTCTTGGCACCTAAATCAGCTGTGATTGCACTGATTTGCACAACATTTGAAATGACTGTCGTTCGTGTTTTTCGTTCTCGGTTACGTCTGGACACGTCTGGCTCTGGAGAATTGATGACAGAAACTGGTTGATTCTGATTCACAGCCATTAAACTCCCATGATGCACACAGTGACACATGAGCACACAAACTCAGAGCTGAAGCGGGACACTGACAGATGGAGCGCTCCGCTTTAGCGCTAATCTCGGTCTCCGATTGGCTTCGGGCACTAGTTTCCCTGCCAGAGGAGCTCAGATGAACCAGACCAGATCTGTGGAGGAACAGTGACGTTCATCTGCTGTGCATCCAGAAACCGGTGCTCCATACTCACAGTTAAACTAACTAGTGCAGGTGAGTGAAGAGATAACCAGCTCAACACAACACAGAGAAAACAATCTGTCATTTACCCTGAGTCATGTGGTTCCAAACATGGATGATTTTCTTTCTTCCGAAGGTATTTTGAAGAACACTGGGAAACAAACAACATTGGACCCCAATGACTTTGACTGTATGAACCACAAACTTCAGACACATTTCTCAAATTATCTACTTTTGTGTTTCACAGAAGAAAGTCAGTCATGCAGGTTTGGTACGACATGAGGGTGAGTAAATGAGACAGAATGGTCAGTTTTGGGTGAACTAATTTTTTAACCTTTAACTAGTCAACCTACTTCTATGATGACCTCTGATGTCATCGGTCAAAGGTCACAACCCACTTCCGAATGTCTCGCTGCTCTCGGCTGATGGGAGTGATGGCGAGATCAAATCTAATTACATAGATTCATATGCTGCATCTCCTGTAGGTGTCATCATCATCATCTCCACCCACCATCGCTGATTCATCATCATCTTCACTGAGAAATTAATAACTCCGTTCCACAACCTACTAAGCCCTTAATATTATGCAAAATTATGTTCCTTTCTAAGATGCCTCACAACATCACATGCGATGCAATAAAAGCTGGCTTTGGCGAGTCAATAACAGTTAATCAGCAGTTGGCCGCTTCTGAAACACAACACGAGGAGAATGATGAAGATCAGAGAGTCAGACGAGAGTGAGAACACCAAGAGGAAATATACACACAAGTACTTCATGCTAATAAAGCAACAACTAAATCGAATTCAAATGGACTTTTCTACTCAATATTAGGGCTCTATGATTTGTGTGATGTGGAAAACGCTGACAGAATCATGGAATTCAGGCACAAAAATGTGATTTCACCATTTCATTTGAGAAAATCATCAGATACACACTGAAACTCAAAGATCTTCACTACAACCCGCCAAAATAAAAGACTGGTTTAACTTGAAGAAATTATGACTGAAATATATTACTGTTGTACAATGGAATGTACTTCTCAAAGTAATAATTATACAGTTTAAAACATTCATTTTAAAGGAATATCACAGAAAATATAATCAATTTAATCAGTAAACCTTTGTTGTACAGCACTCTGCATCTGTGGTTAAAAAGTATATACATTTTTATTTATTTATGTTTTAAGAAAATGAGCGATGGTTTCTCTAGATAAGACTCTTATTCCTCGGCTGGGATCCTGTAGAGCTCTTCGAAACTGCACTTTGGACCTTCAACCAGTTGGTCTCCATTGAAGTCCATTATATGGATAAAAATCCTGGAACGTTTTCCTCAAAAACCTTCATTTCTTTGCGACTGAAGACAGAAAGACATCTCAGATGACATGGGGGCGAGTAAATCACCAGGAGATTTCTATTCTGGAAGTGAACTACTCCTTCAAGTCTGTCTTATTAAACTCACGTAAAGTTAGATCTTTGGGACATGACTTTATGGATTGCATGACTTGAGTTTCTCAGCGCCAAGCTTAAACTACATATCAATCATTTATGTAACACATCTCATTTGTGCATTATTGGCTGATATGTTAAAGTATATAAATTAAAGCAAATCAAATCACTTCACCTGTAAACACTTTGTTGACTCGTCTCTCCTCAGATGTTGTGCCGTAATGGCAGCCTCGCACGCAATTCTCAATATCGGTGAATCCGATATTACAAAACCGATATCCGATAATGGAAAAATACTTAAATGTCAGGAAAAATATCGGTAAAACCGATTATCGGTCGATCTCTAAATCAAAGAGATTTCAAACAGGCCGTACAGTGTTTCTGTGAGATGTCAGTATGTGAAGTTTTCACTCTGTTTTGCATTTCTAGCAGATACGCAGTCCAATGCAAATGATTCCTATGTAAAGTGTGAGCAGGAACTCTGAGCCGCCGGTGATCATTAGCTGAACGAGCTCTTCATTAACACAGACTGAGCATCGTTATGAGCTGATAAACACACATTAATGCTCACAGGATTTTCAGTGAATTAGCGCTGATGGTGTAACTTAATCCTGAGTGAGATTTAATCTGACAGACACTCATTTCATCTGGAATCATGCTGTCCTTAATGGAGGAGATCAGAGCGGACCACACATGACCTGATTACACACACACACACACACACACACACACACACACACA